TACTAGATGTAGGGGTGTTCACGGATTGGTTTGGATCGGTTATTGATCAAAATTAAAATCAAATCAATTTAATCGGTTTTAAAATTATCAAAACCAAATCAAACCAAATATAATATACATTCATCGGTTTGATGGTTATTGGTTTCAGTTTGGTTTTGTTCGGTTATTAACCATACACAAAAATAAAAGAAACAATTCATTCAAAATGTGAAAAAAGTGACAACAATCCATTCAAAACGAAAAATAGTTAGAATGACTTAAATTACTGAACTTTCGATCACTAAATTTACTATCAATAAAACTTTAAAATTCACTATATTTGCCTAGAAGGAAGAGACAATAACATTTTCAGTCTCACAAAGAATTGTCATACACACTCATATACATGAAATCAATAAGATAAATGTTTTCATTTGGGGCATTTTTGCTTTCAATAAGTAAATTATAATTTTTTTTAAATGAAAATATATGTAAGATCTTTAAAGTTGTTTATAAAAACAATATATTAAGTAGGTATATTAATAAAATATATGTATATAATTCATCGGTTCGGTTTGGTTATTTCTTCGGTTTTTTCGAATAAAACCATAACCGAACCAAATACTATCGGTTTTCAAAAATCTAAAACCAAATCAAACCAAACCAAACCCAAATAAAATCGGTTTTATTTTATCGATTTGGTTCGATTTTTCGGTTTGGATTGGTTTTTATCCAAACCGTGGACACCCTAGATGTGAAAAATTTTCAAATTATAGAAATGCATTCAGAATTTAAATTTTATGACTTACTTTTGAAAATCTACCTTGATTCATTTGAGTTATTAACTTTAGAATCTATTATTTATAATTATTTAATAAATTTTAATATTTGTAAAAGATTTATTGAATTAGAATGAACCCATGTTATAAAAGTAAGGGGCAGAATGGGACCACAAAGGTCAAATTTTTTATGCATCGCCCAAGATGTAACTAATTTGTTTTAAAGGAAAAGAAAAGAATATTTTTTTTCAATAACCATTTATATTTTATACTTCAAAAAAAAAAAAAACGTCACCCGTTTTTGTCACCATCTTTTCCATAATTCCGCCAGAATCTGAGCACACGTTTCCATTATCTGCTCTCTCTTCTGAATAATTTATCATAATTTTTGTGTAGTATTCTTATAATCACTTATAAATTATACATAATTTTTTTAATAGATTATTTATATTTCAAAATTAAAATATCTTAGGTGGAAATATAAAAATTTGCTGTAAAGGAAATATAAAATTTATAACAAGAATATCAAATCTGATTTCTATTCTGGATTAGTTGTTTGTATATTGCTATCAACTCCACCGCACCCTTGGATGTCAGCATGTGCCAGTGACTTTTTTTTTCTAATTAAAAGAGAGAATTTTCAACACCTCCCTTATTATATATATTTAAAAAATAATTTTAATGAAGATATTATTAATGAACATTCGAATTCCTTCATTTACATTAATTATTCACATATATTCACATTAAAATAATTTATACAAAATATTTTGACCAAGAGAAATTTGGAAAATCTTTTAAAATATTTTATTCCTCCTTACCAATGACACACTCTAAAACATCAAATTTTCAACCAACGAACAAATAAACTATTAGCTTGTGGACCAGAGGGAATTGCTCGCAATATATTTACAGCATGTGCATACTTGACAACTACTCCTTTGAATGGAGTTTAGGTGTAACCAAAAGTTGAAGAAAACCAAATTCACTCACTTTTGTCAATTCTCACATTATCCTTTTCCACCACCCCATCATCAATTTTGTCACAATTCTCATTATCTGCTTTTTCCCGGTCATTGTTTTATTAATCATTTTGAATTGAACTTATCCATTTTCTTTTGATTAGTTGTAGTACTATATTAGTATATTAAATTTTTGCATGTGCACAGTGCATTACCATACCTTAACCACTCTTCTTGACTTGTAGTGGAGTACTATAATAGAAGAAGAAAAAAACCCTGAGAAAAAAAAAACAGTTTACTCAGAGAAAATCTCATGGAGAAACAGAGAAGTTTCTCCATTAAACCTACAAGGCTCTGGCTTTTCTCTTTCACCATTTCATTTTCTCTAATCTTTTTCATCTTTTTCTCTATATGGGTTCTCAACCTTCCACTATATAGTCGTCAAGAAACTCATTTTCAGTTCAACAGGACGACTACTGCTGCTTCAGTCTCTTTGGGTCTCAGATCTCCTTTCAAGATTCAATCTTTAACTGGTCTTCACAGAAATTACTCAGCAACCCAAATCAAGAACTCGATTTTGGTGAGTACCCATTTCAGTAGAGTTGAAAATGAGTCCCAAGTTTCTAACTTTTCAACATTTGAGGGAATCTTGGAAAAGGAAAGTCAGCCACAATCAGTGGCTTATGATATAAATAGTGAATTTTTTTTGACCTTTTTCGGTAACCATTCGACCAAATCTGAAACTGTTTCTTCCAAGGGTCTTGAAATAGATAGTACCAATAGTAGTATTCCTATTTGGAATCAGCAGCAGAAGAATGTGTCTATTACTTTGTCTAAGAAAGAAGAAGTTTCTAGTGATGTGCTTCAGGTGGTGAATAAGAAAGAATGTGACATCACAAAAGGGAAGTGGGTTTTTGATGAGAGCTATCCTTTGTACACAAATGCTTCATGTCCCTACATTGATGAAGGTTTTAGTTGTGAAAATAATGGGAGATTGGATAAGAATTATATGAAATGGAGGTGGCAACCTCAAGATTGTGACATTCCAAGGTAAAACAATAAAAACTTGACTCTTTTGCCCCTTGTTTTTGTCCTCTCTTTTTTTGTGTGTGTGTGGATCCATTGCTTAAGTTGTACACTTTCATTGTCTGGCTAGTAATAGAGTTGGAAGAGTAATAAGAAAGTTTGAAATAAAATAATTCTTAGCTTGTGACTTTTGTATGGTACAGATTCAATGCTACTCAGATGTTGGAACTTATTAGAGGTAAAAGATTAGTGTTTGCTGGTGACTCCATCAACAGGAATCAATGGGAATCGATGTTGTGCTTGTTAATGGGAGCAATAAAAGATCCAAGAAAGGTTTATGAAACTCGTGGCCGGAGAATAACCAAAGAGAAGGGAAATTATTGTTTCAAATTTGTGGTAAATAATTTAAATTTTTGATTAACTGAATATGCAAAGAATTGTGTTTTTCCAGTTTTCAATTTTTTGGTGTCATTGTTGCAGGACTACCAATGTACAGTTGAATATTATGTTACTCATTTTTTGGTTCATGAGGGCAAGGCAAGAATAGGTAGCAAGCGGGTGCAGACCCTGCGTATTGATACTATGGACAAAGGTTCTTCAAGATGGAGAGGGGCTGATATTCTGGTCTTTAACACTGCTCATTGGTGGAATCACCATAAGACTAAAGCAGGGTAAGCCTTTTGTTAACTAGATTATAGCCAGGCAGATTTACTGTTCTTTTTCTAGCCGGTATACATATACTATACACTGATTATACACGTATTGTATATGGATTATACATATATTATACATCGGCCGGCTATTTTTAGTTTAAAACTTTGGGTGGACGGCTATTTAGGTTAATTCTGCTACTTTGTTCTTCTTCGAGTTTAAGTTCTGCCAAAGACTAATGGTATGAATATAATTTGTTCTTTAAGAAGTTCTTAGTGTAATGATCCATGTGAAGATCTATTTTAGAATATGGTACTTGGAAGTTACTAGCAGATTTTTACTGATGTTTAATTGGAGAAGCCTATATTGGCCTGAGATGAGCTTAAATCTTGTGACATGATTAATGAGGATTCATGTAGATCAAATCAAACTTGTTTGAGATTGAGGCAAATAATTGTTGTTTAATTGGAGTAGGCAACATTTCGATATGAAAACCTAGTCATGATATTGTGATAGCATATTGAAAGAACCTGCAATACCCCGGTTAATGAGCTAGATTGTTTTTTGGTGAATCAATCCTGTCAATTATTACTATGAAGATAGAAAACAAGTTAGTGGTATTCTTGCGTGTGATGGATGTTGCATTACCTTCTTCTAGTTACTCTCGCTTATATTATCGGTACTGTCACGACAGGAAGAATTACTACCAGGAGAGGAATCAAGTACATCCTCGTCTTGATGTTTCAACAGCTTTTGAAAAAGCCCTGACAACTTGGGCATCATGGATTGATAGACATGTCAATCCAAGCAAAACACAAGTTTTCTTCAGGAGTTCTGCTCCTTCTCATTTCAGGTATGCCTTAATTTGCTTTAAACTCATTGTTATCAGATTTGTGATGTATTGGCTTCATGGCTCATCACCCTCTCCTTAAATTGGACAGTGGGGGGCAGTGGAACACTGGTGGGCACTGCAGAGAAGCTTCTCAACCTATCCCTGAGACTTACAGAGGCGAATATCCAGAGAAAAATATAATAGTGGAGCAAATAATAGGCAAGATGAAGACTCCAGTTACTTTTTTGAACATAACTGGTTTGTCAGATTACAGGATTGATGGTCATCCTTCTATATATGGAAGAAAACCGGGTAGCTCTTCGCGTGTTCAAGATTGTAGCCATTGGTGTCTCCCTGGGGTTCCAGATACCTGGAATGAGATCTTGTATATGCATTTAGAAAGTAACAGAAGAAAAAGTTTGCCTAACTGAAGCTTCATCCTCAAATTGTAATTCTTTCATTTGTTCAGCATGTTTGATAAGCTGTATATAGCTGTGAATTTGAGGTTTGTCTTTTGTTCTCTCTTGTTGTGTATGTCTAGGGATGGCAAATGGACGTGTTAGTCAAGATTAACTTGGACGGATTAAAATAGGTTCAAATTAATACATCCAAAGTTGCAACAATATGAACATAAGTTCTTTCAAATTTTACATTTGGGTTCACCTTTGTTCCCAATATCAAAAAAGAGATTCAAGGCAAAACTGGTTCTAAATAGAGTAAAAGGAAACAGATCTATATAAACTGTATTATTAGAAGCCACCTTGTGTCCAACCAACACAAGTAATTTCTTTCACCTGTTCGGATGACTACATGTATACATGTTTCTTTCAACATTTTTCTGCTTATTCTTTACATAGCTGGATCCTCTCTCCTATTACTTCTTTAATGTCTTATTATTATTATATTAGCACACAATAATATAATAAAATATGAAGGACCCCACAACAAAGAAATATCTTTATGACTATCACTGTATATAAGAGATGTAGTACAGCTTCCTCTGTTCCTCCTCCGTGTTAAGCACTCCACAATAAGATAGAAATGGTTAAGCATGCTGTCTCAATGAGATTATTGGTGTTTCTTTGGTCGACCTTGAGGCGCTGGTGAATCATCTGTCTTTGAGCCCTCAGGTTTCCTAGCCCATATTGGCGCTTGATCAGGACCATAACGATAATCATAGAAAAGCTCCTCACTAGCTTCAATACGTTCCTTTGCAAATATCCCAACTCGATGATCACCAGCAACCAGCATTACCTAAAGAAATGTCGAATCAGCAACAATCAAAAAGTTTATTGAACTCTAATACATAGGATTGTATGTACCTTAGCAAAGCAGTTTGGGTTTGATGAGTGATTGGCAAATTTCAGCTTGTCTCCTTTCCGATAGGCATCGAGGACATACTGCAATAAAGAGATGAGAGCAGGAGATGAAATGTTATCAAGGCTCATAAAATTCTCTAACAAGTTAGCTTAAGATGTTAAATTAATAGACCTTCTAGATCACAACTCAGTCATATTAGCAAAGAATGAAAAAAAAAATATACGGTAACCTAAATATCAAAGAATTAGGATTGAATTGCCAAAAGGAGAACACCCCTAGTAAAAATAATGAAAGCTTCATTTGGAATGACTTGTCTAGTTTTTGATCCCCAGCGCAGGGTTCACTCAAAAGGAGGGATTAGTTCACTGCCTTATGTTATTAATTTGATCATTCCTTCGGTTGAAGAAATCAGGCATACAGGTAGAAGAATCCAAAAACTTGCATGACAAGTAAATCCGGAGGACATCACAAGCTAATAATTGGATATTTTGGAATTGGAAACTTTAATGCACCAAATTCACCACTGAAAATTCATAACAACTTCTCTGAACCAGACATTCTAGATTGTTGAAATAAGAGCATATACCTGCTAGGGTATACAAGGCAGGGCGGTTGGTCCTAAGGTCCAGATTTTGCAATACAAGGGAGTATCAGAATATCTCAAATATAAGCAGTGCTCACCTGATCATTCAAGTCGAAAAGGAAAGACGAATTTGCACGATCATATATTTTCCCCCGCTTATCTGCTTCTCGATGAGAAATTAATTCACCCGTATATTCTCCCAGGTAATCATTTTTGTAAACAGGGTTCTAGACGCAAAAAGATTAAACAAATTAAATTAGTTTATTAATACATTGTAGTACTAGCTTAAGGAGCAAGTGTGTCACACAGGAATACGGTTTACCTTCAGGAAGGCTCCCCATCCAGCAACATCAGATTTTGACAGCAGAATCTGTTATAGAAATGACGCAAGACAGATTGAAAAAGGAGAAAAGGGAAGATAGACAGTTTCATAACAGAAATAGTAATTGAAACCCCTAAAATGTCTGACCCTTTGTTGCTGCCTTAGGAGGAGCCTCATGTTACCACATTGACCTTCTCCTTGCCTAGGAGGCTCACCCAATGAACCATCACCACAGCTGAAAAGTGTGTGTCAATATTCCAAGCAGCAGTACATGGGTGAATTTAGAGGCTACAGTTTAGCAACATTTTACCTAACCCAACAATTGCGGCAGACATCAGGATCACATTCACGTCCAGCAGCAAAACATGGACATTGTCTGCTTCTGCATTGACTCTTTGCACAGTGGCATCCACGGAAACGATTTTTACAGCTTTTTGAGCAGCTGAAATGGAAGAAGAGATATTAGGAGATATGACAGGTTCCTGAAATAATATCGGAAAGTGACAAATGAATTCCCAGCTAGCCCTAAGCAAACCAAAAAAATTAGAGCAAACATCAAGTTAAACAACTTTTTTAACAACGAAAACAGTCAAGGACATCAAGCTGCAGTCTTCTTTCACATGAAAATGAATGCCATTGAGGACATAATTATTCTAGTTTATTAAGTCCTGTTCAACTATGCCGGAGTTCAATGTATGGTAAATGCAACAAAAAGTTGATGCACTGCACTACTCTCATCTGTGGTGAGCACAAATGATCCATTCATAGCATCAAACAGAGCAACCAACAAATCCAGGAGGAGGGGAGGGGTGCAAGAGAACAAGCTTTATAGGAGGGCATGAAAGTAGTTAAAAGAAAAAAAAATAGAAGAGAAAAAGGTGGACTGGAGAGGCATCTAACTTGGCAAATCAAAGACGAAATCCTTTATTGATAAATTCAAAGCTCAACATACCCACAATACTTTTCACAGCAAGTACCATTCTGCAAACAAGGACAATGCTTTCCACACATCGGCTGGCATCCACATGGATTATATTGTATACATGATTGATTCTTTCCATCGGCCATTCTTCTCCAGATTGAGGGATGCCCAGAAGACTTAGAGGAATATTTCAGTTTGCGTGTTCTGCCTCTTCTACGAAGAAAACGTGATTTTGTCGGAATATCTAGCTCCTAAATAGACAAATACATCAATTAGTTGGATATAACACCATGAAGGAAATAACTCAAACTAATCTAGGAAAGTAGAATGCTAACAAAATAAAATCAGCTGTTTGAGCATTTTCAATTCCAGTAGCACCTTATATGGTAGTACGTATGTTCCACTTATAGCATGAGAAATTCAAGGGAAACAAATATTCTCATATATGCATCAATTTCCAAAGAAGAAGATCCGACTTTCTCAAATTTCTAAAATAAACAAGTGCATCATTCTGATGCTTCAAAAATGAACTAGAAGTAATTCTTGACAATATGATTCTTCCTTCTGCATGTGAAAATATCTTATTCTGGCTAGAGCAAACCATGGTTTTTTCTTTGAGAGCAAAAAGCTACCCATCCTTGTAAAATACAAAAAAAGAGGGTACACAGAATGTTAGAGGGTAGCATTGCCTGCTGCTCCAAATATTTATAACTGTCAAAATGGTCTCATGAATACCAAAAGATCCATGATGCCTTTTCTTTTTATTGCAAAGCTGATAGCTTGGAACAGTCTGTTCAGACTGCTTTGTCCAAGTTATAGACTGAAATTAGAAGTCTGTCCTCTAGTCAAGTACTTTAGCTCTACATATCTTCATGTGAAAAAAGATAAGTATACTTTTTGTATACAGCCCTAGATTATACTACAAGAATTAAAATAATAATCTTCATGAATTAACTTTTTAGATAATTTGTTGTAAAGTGAGATTAACGAGTGCCTGTATTATAATTTATCGCACTAAAATATAGATATGGACTTTGATGCAATGTGATGTTTGGTTTTGCAATTGGGCTAACCTTTTTCTTTTGAACTTTATCATTGGATTTAAGTCCATCATTTGGTAGGGAAAACTTTTACCATTTTAGGATTTGAAGAGAAGACTAACAATCCCATTAACAATATCCTTGTCCTTGGACTGAAAAATATCAGCATAAGGAGTTAGTCTTATGAGGACAAGGATAATGTTAATGGGATTGTTAGTCTTAATATAGGGACACTTCTGGATTGAAAAATATCAGCACTAAAAGGACAATGCTGTACAAACACCCAATGCATCAAGTATATGAGTAGGCATGCAGAGGAGCACAAACCATGTAATCCATGTCAGTTTTCCCATTATCCTCCGAAAATAAGCTTGAGGAGCCTCCACGTTGCGCCGCTGCTCTGTTATCCATGTAAGAGGATACCTCCATACAAGTTTTCAAGCCAGGAAGTAAGTTCCTAGCAATGAGGCAACTGCAATGAATGAGATTTCCATTAGAGCTGATACATATTGACATAACAATCTGATTTGAGCATATCACTTGACCAAATATAGTTCAACAAGAATCTGTAACCAACACTTCATCAACTTCATGTATTTAAGAAGTACGACCAAGTGGTGAGGTAGGGGTTTAGAATATGATCTGCATAAAAAGAAAGAGCAGATTTCTCATGAGGGACTAAATGAGCTAAAGTATGGTGTAGCATTTACCCATGTGCTCGTTTTGTCTCGTAACATGAAAAAAAGAACTCTCCTTAAATGTAAAAGGGTCCCTCGAAAGCCATAAAAAAGATGAATGTTCCCTACTTTCACTTCTATGATTGACTGATTGATTGATACTGAGGAAAGTTCAGTAACTAATCTTGGCATAGAAAGAAACAAAAACTTATATTAGCTAACATATGGTCTTTTATACAAAGGCATATCACAGGTAAAGTGTAACAACAACAACATGCCCAGTGCAATCCCACAAGTGGGCTCTAGGGAGGGTAAGATGTACACAGACCTTACCCCTACCTTTATGGGGAAGATAGACTGTTTCCGATAGACCCTTGGCATGAAAGAAAAGAAGAATTTGAAGCACTGGTGTGAGCTAGATAAATATCTGTCCCCACTCCTCTCTAGCCATGAAGCTGTAGCCCACATACTATCTGTGTCCCCACTCCTCCCCCAAGCCCCTTAGCCGCCAACTATACCCCAATCACCTAGGCTCTGGTGTGAGCTAGAAAAATATCCCTGACTTCAATGCTGATTCATTTATCACAATAATACAAGTGAAAAGGACTCCGAAAAACATCTGATACTCCATCACCTTCATATTGTTTATTCCTTAAATGACATCAATAATACTTCTGTAAAAGATAATTTAACATAGTATAAGTTCCCAGAAATTGCAGTACAGCTAAAGCCATCTCCTGTTCATAGCCCACCGACCAATTCATACTTATCTAAACTTTCAACTATCTGCAATTGCACATGGTTCCTCACAGGAATGTGTGCCCTTTTGAGTCCAAAGCTTAATCAGCACTATAATAGCTTCTCCCAAATATGGTGGCAGATGGTACAATAATATGTGTGCCTGTAGAACCATATGAAGTACCTCCATTGGAAATTATTACAAGCATCTATAGAATGTGAAGAAAATGAAGATTGGCTATCTGGAATCCCCAGGAAAGGACTGCTTGAAATTGGCGGGAGACACAAAAAAGATAGCAGTATATCCATATGGAAGTCCTTTAAATGAGTACAAAGAATGTGGACCTTTACAACAACAACAACATACCCAGCGAAATCCCACAAAGTGGGGTCAGCATGTGGAGCTTTGGATCTTAAAAATAATTTCACAGATGTCGGCTTGGAAACACTAATGTGTGTAGCTGGAAGAGCATGACAGACAGTTCCTATTTCTGAGTTGGACCTATCATTGCACGCGGAAACAGCGTCTAATGCGTCTTGCACAAATACAAGGTAAGGCTGCATATATGAGACATAATGTGGTCCGCCCTTCCCCAGACCTGAGCATAGCGGGAGCTTAGTCCACCGGGCTCCCTTTAGTCTGACACTCTGACTTATCATTGCATGTGGATGAAATAGATTGCATGGGTTGTAAAGTTTTAAGGATTTGTTACCACTGACCTGAGTACTCCCAAAAGTACCAAGTGACATGTGAAGACTCAGAGAGACTCCTTTTGTTTTTACCATCTAATCTCTCACTCTCTGTTCCGCTGTCAACAAGAAACAACTGCAAACTACCTTACCAGATGATATCCACATGGAAAGAAAAAACCTAGTGTAACAATTTTTTGTTAAATCTCAAAGAAAGGTACAAGTTAAATTTGGAACAGTCATTTCAATCTTTTTCATTCACATGGACATGCATTTCTTACCACTGATGATATCAACCTATTTTAATGTAAAATAATTGTAATTCCATTATTGAGGAAGAACCAATATCAACTAAAAATCATACCTATTTCTCCCAAATATCTCTATCCCCTTTAAGTATAGTTCTTTCTCTAGGGGTTTCCATTCTGGTAGATTTTTGGAGCAGGATGCATGCTTCACAGTTTCCTTTATAGTGTCCTCTGCTTCATTTCTGACATTTTCCCCAGTCTTATGCAAAGAAGTACCATGATTATAGCCAGACTGATCTGGTGCTTGTGAATGTGATACATAATCATTGGTGATAATAGACATCCCATTGCTCTCAGATCCATCTTCTGCTGCCACACTAACAGCATTAGGGAGTGACAATTTCCTTCTCTTACCAGAAGAATCTTGTTGGTCATCCAAAACTAGATCTGACTTCTCTAAAGTTGTGTTTATAGACTCTGATACTCCATGCTTCATTTTGCTATCAATGTGCTCGTCTATTGTGACAGGGAAACATGCACAAGTTGAACCAGCAACAGGTAACTCCAAATGTTATAGACAAGACAAGAAAAATCAGCAAAGCGATCTGTCATCAAAAGTGTGTGAATCATCGTCACCTGGATCTCTAGTTCTATTGATGTCCATAGTGCTACCTCCCGCTTCTGAAGTGTGTTTTTCTAGTCCTTCCACTGGATCTACAGTTGAATATTTAGTCTGGTTTGCTACACCTTTTACCTAAAACCTCAAAATGAATTTCTCCCACATAAAAAGCTGAAAGTGAGTGAAAAAAGAAGAAGGGACAAAAAGGGGAAGAGCAAGTTAGCAAATGAGAGCAGTCAGTAGCAGTGGCAAGTGTTACCAAAAATGAACTGATTATGTAATATAAAGGAAAATTTTAAAATCAGAATGGAGGTTTTAAAGCCTAGAAAATAGATGTATATTTACGATCATCTACTCCACAGATGGTAAACTTGGCATTTGACGGTCAGATCCAAAACTAGCAAATACCAAAGTTATATGTTAAAGCAGAGCTGCCTAGATACTTACTGAAAAAGCTGAGCTGCTTAGTTAAAAAAGTTTGGGAACTAAAATACTACAAATATTCCGGACCAACTCAAAAACAAGGGTTATCTTAATATAAACCAAATCAATGATACACTGAGGGGAATTCCTAACTTAAAGAAGTATGATCTACTTGCTTGTGTATAAATGTCGAAAGAATACCTTAAGATAACACCGATCACCGCAAGGTTTTCTATCATCTTCAGAATCAGAAGAATAGGGCTGCTTTTCAATCTGCCAAATGAAAAAGACTTTCAGATTTTCATATACAAATTCGGTAGAATAAGCTGGGGTAATTATACTTACAGCATCAATAAGAATTTGTGAACAGCCATGGAGACGGCAGTCGAACACCTGTTTTAGTATAGGGAGCCAATTAATAACACATTAAACTTCTGTTTCAGTTAAAAAAAACACAACCCTGAGGGGTAGCTCAGCTGGTAAAGGCCTGGGACAAAGTCCTTCAGGTCGCCGGTTCGAGCCCCAGCAGGGCCACTGGAGGCATTACAAACCGGCCGCGTCTCCAGGGCCCCGTGGAACTAACCGTGGCGGACCCGCCTTGAAACAGCGGGACCCGGTGGGTACAGCTAGTCGGGTTCGCAAAGCGACGCCCGGAAACCACGGTAAAAAAAAAAAAAAAAAAAAAGTTAAAAAAAACACGTTTCAATCACATACCAGACAGCGGCGACAGAAAAGGTTATCAAAAGAATCTAAAGCAGCAGTAAGGCTTTTGTCCAGAAACATGCTCCCCCCAAATCCACTTTCCCTAGAATCTTTCAAGCTTTTGCCGTCTGTATCTTGATGTTTTTCCTCAAGCACATTACAGTGCTCCTAATAAACAAACAAACAAATACAAATCAGATAGTATACAAATTGATTTCACAGGTAGCCACTAACAAGACAACCATGAAAGATAGAGAAACATGAGTCAACATGTGAGCAAGCCCAGACACACATAAATGAGGTAACTAAAATATCTACTATCTATAAGTTCATTACCCAATTACATCACCAACTCAGTTTACCAGGATTTCAGAAGTGGTGCCTCCAACATACTGGGTCAAGATGTCAAGAACTTCTTCGTTAAGCCCAAACTCTTGTGAAGCCATCCTACAGAATCCCATAAAGTGAAAATAAGATGGCTCTGTGAGAAACAAAAAGAGAAGCAAACTGACAAGCACAACAAAAAAATATGTTTCCTGTCTGAAATCTGAAAGCTGCTACACCTTTCTGTCAGAAAACTACTAGAACGAAATGCTAGCACCTCCCTCCAGCTGGCTAAATATAGGTAGGATATTCTAGTTCACTGAAGGTGCGTGGAAGCTTACATAAACATACAGAAAGCTACCTATTCTATCCAAGGGAAAGAAGTGTAATATGCCCAGGTTACTGTGGCAGGAGACTGGGGATAGGACAAGATAACTAATCATCTGTCAATCCAACAACTTACAACAATCAAATCAACACCCTTCATACCAAAAAGAGATGATTTTGGATGTATGAGAGTCAAAGCACCTACTTTTTGGTGTATATCTGAACATTGACCTTCTTTATGGTTTTAAAAATTACATATTTAGAGACTACGTAAAGTGATACAGATCACAATGTTCTATTAAAGTACTTACAAATTTCTATATGTTTTGATAGTATTTTTTTTTATAACCGTGGTGTCTGGACCAGCTTGCACGCATCTTGACCAATACCACGGGATACCTCCCACCAGCATTATGTACAAGTAACTGTCCACCAAGCCTAGGATAGATGGGAAGAAATCACCTAGTGTTTTTTTTTGTCTCCGTTAAGATTTGAACTGAGACCTCATGGTTCTCAACCCACATCATTGACCACTCACCCTTTGGGGCTAATAGTAATTATATACGGGATAAAGGGAGTATTTTTCTTTACCCATATGAGCTATGAGTGTCTGAGGAAAACCTATCATCATTTCACAAAACCAAAAATTAAGGAAATCTATGGACACAGAAAAAAAATAAGAACAGAGCTGAAAGGCGAAATTGTGCTCTGCATCTGTATTATTCAGGAAACAACAGAATAAATCTTCTAATTCTAGTAAATGGAAATCTCAAATGTAAAGAAAATGGCAAGGATAAAATTGCAGAATTTCTTTACTGTAACACTTCGGAAAGTTCAAAATGTTTGAAGGCCATTAAGAAGTTCTACACATTCTAACTACCTTAATTTGTGTTTGAATGAGGGCTAATGATATGAAGCACATCACATGGACACGATGATAAGTATATGAGGTATATTGGAAGTGATTATGGGGTCTAGGAGAGCCCTGGGGCCAAACCAAATTGGAAACCACACTACGGACTAAAGTTGCATAGAAATGCGCACAAAGCCTAACTTTAAACTAGCATAACTCCCAATCTATAAAGAATTATGGTGTGCACTATATATCAAATTAAAGTTTTTTTAGTACAGTTTCCAAAGGTTCAAGCCATTAGTTATCTGGACATTCATACAAGGAGATATGGCCATTTTACCAAAGACTGACAGTGCTGTCACAGGTCATGTGACACATAGCCATAGCAACAAACTTCCAGGTCTATATAAAAACCAGTTTCGGGACAGAATTGGTTTTTGAGAAAGGGGTTAGGGTTGTGAGCTCAAAAGTGGCAATTTGATGCTTGGGAGCTCTATTACAAACCAAGGTACGTTACTAATGATTTTTTGAGTTAATTATACTTGATATACATGGATTCTAACATCATATAAACAAATAAATCTATAAATTTTATCAAATTGTTCAAGAACACCAAAAATCCCAAGCTTACGGTTTTTGAGGAAAAACTTGAAGGAGGTAATTACACTACCTAGAACTTGTTTATTTATTAAGGTCCAAAGTATTCGTTGCTAGTTGTGGTGGTTGAAAGAGTTGTAAATGGAAAACTCTAATTGTGTTGGAAGTTGGATAAATGGTGAGGAAGTTTGGATATGCTTTGGCCTTTGATGTATTTGAGATACCGTATTTGTAGATATCGACTTATTGATGATGGTTGGATAGTTTATCAAGTTGATTGTCATAGTATTATTTTGGAGCTTGAAGTTGAGGTAAGTTAAGACTTACTCTTCTTGAGGTGTTTTCTCTACATGTGTTCAAGATAATAATGTGTAATGTGAGGCAATACTTGTGGGGGCGAGCGAGTGTGGTTCTCTCCATGCTTTATAAATTGGGTTGCATATGGCATACCAATGATTTATAAACAATGTGTAGATATGAAAATTTAGAGTTGAAGCTAATTGTTGAAATGCTACTTGAAATGAAATTTCATAAGTTTATGAAGACTTGCACGATTCTAAAGGCACAAAAACAAATATTTCAATTGTGTCAAAAATCACGTTAAAGTGCTATTTCGTTTAACTGATTTATATTCAATAATATTTATGCTTTTAACAACCAAATGATTTGAAATAACACTTGATGAATACTTTGCATCTTAAATCTTCGTTTGGTAAATGCTTTGATAATTTGAGGAAAGATTATATATTGTTTTTTGTTCAAATAGTTTGGATTGGCTATGAGCGCCATGATTTGATAAATGTACATATCTTTTAGGCTACTAAGTCATGAATCTATTTTAGAATATTTAAATTGTTTTGGGAGTTACTATTGTTCACCACGATTCGCTTCAGATAGATTCCGTTTGTTGTCACAAAATTACATGTGCCAGTGTAGGCATAGACTCTACCTAATGGTAAAGGGATAGGGTAAAGTGTCCCCATGGAAGGGTATAGTGTGCTATAATAGTATGGTTGAGTCGATTCGTACGGCACTACAATGAGACGACTTGAGCAAGTAGGGTATATGATACTAGCCAGTAAGTTGATCACCTAGTTGACCTTGGATCTTGTGTCGGTGTTGGTATAGTACTCCCGGTGAAATGTAACATTTCCATATATTTAGGCCTAACGAGCCGAAAGTGATTTCAATGAGTTAATTCAATTGAAATGAAAATTTATAATTTTATTTAATCATGCCTGAGAATAACTTGTTCATTTATTATTGAAAGTTTATAAGGTTTCTGAAATGGAGTTTACACTTGACTTTTAAGTTCAAATGTTGGAATTTCAATTTGATATCAATGTATTATGTTTTATATCAAGTGATACTTGCATTGATTTTCTAATAAAGTCTTGTCCCAGCTTTGACTGAGAGAGAGAGTCAATGATACTTATAGAGTCTGTGACAATGTACTCTCAGTCCTCTTTAGGCCCCCTTTATTTTTCATATTTCAAGATGAGGCGTGACACGTGATGAGCCGACATGGATAGGGTGACTCTCTTCCTAATGTATATGTTGAGGCACAACTTTTATTCCGTGGTAGCTAGTGTGTCCCTTATTCTTTTCTTCAGACAGGACTTGTCCCAAGAGTTTAATTCTATTCCATTGTATAGAGGCTCCATAGAAAGTTGTGTTTGGTTGTAATAATTGGAGTTTACATGACATACATGGAAAGACATCCCTTTTATTTTGATTTCATTATTCTTTTGAAATGCTTCAGGTATGTTCTTTTGAAGTTGAAAATATTTCATGATTAATTTGAAAATGTATAAAAAAAAAGAAGGTCAAATGGCTTTCATGCATATGGTCAGGATGCATCATATGGGTTTGGTTTGCTCAGGTAGGGTAGTGTGTCGTTAGCTGGTCACGTGGATTTGGGGCATGACATATACAAACCTTCCCTATGTAAGCACTAAGCACTAGTTGCGACATAGAGAAATAAATCTACATCAAATCCAACTCTTTGAAACAGTCTATGCCCAATCTTTCTCTTTGACACAGAAGCAAAAATCTGTTTAACAAATGAACAATAACATTTTATAAAGTTGTAATACATGCTATATTATCTGAACTCACCTAAGAATTTTGTCCTCTCCCTCAGAAAAATGACGTTTCTCTTCCTCTGGTTCTGCTATGTCTTCCTCACTGTCACTACAGATTAGTGCCTCGCTACCATGCTGGTCATAATATATCCGCCTTCTCCCAACCACTGATTGATCTTCAGCCATTCTTTGATTTCTGTGTTTTGTGAAGAAAAATTGAGAGCAAAGAGCAAATAAAATCCTCAATTTGAATAAGAAAGAAAGTATAATCATGGTAGCATCAATTATTGGCCTAATCGAAAACTCAGAAGAACATAATATAGAAGCTAAAGAAGAGTAACTGGAGAAGGCATGATGAACAAGATTAGCTTTAATGCATGATAATGGATGAATAATACTACTGAAAACTAATTTTCCCCCAATCTTCTCCAAGCTATTAAATTGTGGAACTGCCTTAAGACTTCAGAGTGGGACTTCAGCTGTTGATGGTAACTTATCACCAAAATAGATATTAAAAGGAAAATAAATCCACGACAAAGGTCAAATGTTCTATCTCAAGCTTGTCATGAAAGTGTTTTGTCCAAAACAAATATGGAAAATAAAGAAAAAGATGCAAATTTTAGTGCTTCTAATTAAGCCTTATACTGGCGAAATATTTAGGTAGCTAACCAATGTAGCTAGCACAAATGCTATTTTTAGAAGTTCTTTCCTTAAGTGTCCTCTTCTATGGACTTTTTCACAGTATTGTACTTGAGATAGCTATGATTATCACATACTTGTCTAAAAAGATCCAAGTAGTATATGGTGGAATGTTCTGAATGAAGGGAAGTCTAGCAGTTATTGAAGATACGACTTCCTCTCCATTAGCATAGTCCCTGTCTCCTGAACCTTGAACAAGTCCACCAACTTTGCAGAGGGGACTTGATATTCTTAAAGAAAGCATTTTACCAGTCCCAGAGTTCTTCATAGTATCACTCCTTGATGTAGCCAACAAAAGAAGTTCAGAAACATGATTTTCTAGCTTCCTTTTGTTCTCTTCAAGTTTGTCCTACACAAAAATAACCATGTCAGATAATCCTTTGCCCTTTCTTTTAATTATGGTTTTTTTTTTGGAGGGAGGGGATTACAAAACCACTATTCATGTTGTGCCCATCAATTAAAAGAAACATTGTAAGCAATTATTCTAGCAAATTCATATGACATAGCACTCGCATTCTTCATTTCAAGTACAGTTTTTTTTGTTGATGTTTTGTTTCTCCAAGTACAGATATATCCTTTTATGATATATGTGTGTATATATGTCAGCAAATTGGCAGCCCGCACGTTTAATTGTACACTTTAAATTTTTAAACTTCCACTCAAAAGTCTTCCAATCGGAAACTCAGAAAATAGAAGTTACTCACTAATTGCTTTGCTCACAGAACAAGAAATAGAAAAACAAAAATCTGTAAGAAAAGAATATTCATTTGAGATCAAAGTTTCCAATGAATGTTCTGCATTAACTACGGTATGGGTTGGCCGAACACCATTCAACATAGAAAGAGATAAGAGTATCAGAGAAATGCACAAGCCTATCTGTGTGCTTGCTATGATATCAGCAGAAATACAGTTTTAAGTGTTGAATATAAAATAGAGAAATGCAAAAGAACTAGTACCCTAACTGAAAGAACTCTGTCCGTTTGAATTTGCCTTTTCAGCTGATTGATTCTGTACGTTAGAGATGCCGAAGAATCCCCTTCATTTTCTCCATCGGACTTCTGTCAGTTTAGAAAGATAAAGTTTTCACCCATGCTTAATTAATCAAAAAGAAACACAAACAAACACTCAGCTATAATTGAATTGGGAAAAAAGAAAAAGCTTAGACCTCATTAAATTACCTAGTAAAGACTATATTATCTGATGACATTAAAACAACACATAAAGAGGGGAAAAGAACTCATAACCCATAATTTCATTCAACAAGGTAAGTTCAATAAATCATTAGCTAGATTGACAATTAAAGCTTAGTAAACACAATCCAGGAAATATGTAAATCACACTACTTTCCTAATTCTTACTATTTCCTTACCCTTTCCCCCTGTTTCCTCATCCATTGGAGCAAGGAAAATTACCAAGAACATAAAAAAATCATGTTTTTCTTCAACAAAATTTCATAGTTTTCCAAGAATCTCAAATACCCCACAACCCCACAAGAAAAGATGGATCAACAAGATGATCGGGACAAAAGGGTGTGCAAGAAATAGTCTGATATGATAAACTAAAAAAACAATTCAAACACAGAATCAAGAAAGGTACTGACAGTGGGTGTGGGCGCAGATTCAGCAGAGATGGAGCTGGAGGAGATCATCAAGTCTTGTGTAGATAATTTTTCACAACAATAGGGAAGTGAAGGTATAGTTTTGATGAAGAATAAAGGAGGAGAGGAGAGTAGCGGAGTGATAGGAGACTTGCGTGGAGAGGGACCGATGATGTGACATGAAATCCGAATATGATATTACAAAAATATACTTCCACTTCCACTATAAAAGAATTTCAGTTAAGAGTGAATATGTCAAAAACATATTTAAATTATTATTATGTTTGTCTCGTTTGGATAATGTTATATAAAATTATAAGATAAAGTTAAAGTTTTATTTGGACATGCAATTTAAACTTTTTATGTTGTATATTTTTTAATAAACATAAAATTCTCATAAGTTGTAAAATTATAAAAATTGTCCCAATATTTATACCGTCTTACGAAATAAGCAAAAATTTATAAAATCACACGATATAGGATATTAAGGGTGTGTTTGGTATGAAGGAAAATGTTTTCTTGGAAAACAAATGGATTTCTAACTTATTGTCTCATTTTTGGTTAGTGAGTAGAAAATATTTTCTAGGAAATATTTTTTAATGTTTGGTTGGTGAATGAAAAATATTTTTCTAAAAATATCTTTTATTTTTGACTTGAGACGAAAAAACCCTTTAGGAAAATAATTTCTGACTCGAAAATCAACCCCGATAATCGATCTAGGACCCGATATGACACCCGAACTAGGACATGACCCCGACAATAGTTCCAAAATCTGAACCAAGACCTAACCCTGACTTTCGATACTAAAATATTTTCAAAAATATTCTTTTTTAAAAAAAATTGATGGAGTAGGGGGGTGGCAGGGAGGATGTAGGAGTGGCGTAGAAAATAAATTTTTAAAATTTGAAATAATTTTCAAAAATAATTTTTTAAATAAAAACAAAAAATTTGACGGGGATGGCCGTGGCGGTGGGGGGTGGGTTTAGGGGGTGATTGGGGTCATAAAAATCAAAATTTTAAAATTTGAAATATTTTTCAAAAACAAATTTCGTTTAAAAAAAATTGACGGGTGGTGGCGGGAGATGGGGCTAGGAGAAGGAGTAAAAATGAATTTTTTTAAATTTGAAATATTTATCAAAAACAATTTAAGTTTTTGACGGGGGTGACCTAGGGGGTGGGGTAAGGGGTGTCGTAAAAATAATTTAAAAAAAAAAAAGTTTTGACCTTTTTTTCGGGGGGTGGGGGGTGGGGAGGGGTAGGGGTTGGATAAGATAAACAAATCTTAAATTTTTAAATTTTTTTTGTTTGGGGGAGGGGGCGCTGGGGGTTGGTTTGAAGTAGGGTTAGAAAAATATATGAAATTTAAAAAACAAGAAAACTTAAAAAAAAAAAAATGTATGGGGAGGGTCGTGTATAAGGTACGGGGTAGGGTAAGAAAAAAATACTGTAATTGAAGAATGAAGTAGAGTTTTGGAGAATGTTTTCCTTAATTTTTGAAGGGGAGTCATTTTCCTTAAATTTGAGGAAAACAGATTGATTTGAAAAACATTTTCGAAAACATTTCTACAGCCAAATGGGAAAATTGGAAAACATTTTCTGGACCTTCATACCAAACACACACTAAATATACTATCACAGAGCTATTCTAAAAAAACAATATTTATTGATCAAATTTTAATTCAATAAAAAAAATTGAACATAAGTTGTAGTGTACTAATTTTTAATATAATTTTCTCACATAGTACGGACAATCTTCTCACGTCGAACTTGCAATTTCTCGATCATATGACCGAGAAGACGAACCAACATTGTAGCTTTGAGCCATTTGTTTGTCAACTTGATTGGTAAATAAATTTGATCAAAAAAATTGGTGAATATAAATGGTAAAGTAGGAATTGATTTAAAGTAACACGGTGAATAGTCGTTATATGAGTATAAATGATTTAAAAAGTAACGATATGAATTATAAATTTCATTTACATATGAAATTAATGGTTATTAGATATAAATGTGGGGTTGATTTTATAATATATAAACTTGTGGGACAATTTTTATATTGGAAAAGTCCCAAATTATGATTGAAATTCTCAAATCATGCTTTTTAGAGAATTTGAGATTTCATCTCATGATATAAAATCACATGTCCAAACGCCTACCTAGTTTCATAGTGTGAATTTCATATCTAAACTATCAGTTAGAGTGAATATGTCAAAAATATATCTAAACTATCTGCTTCCTTTTTAATTTTATAGGTGTGAGTTTCATACCTAAGTTATCACTCACTAGGTTGAGAAATATATCTTACTGGTGTGTGTAATATCTTCTCTCTTATTTAAAAGAAAAAACATAATATATTTATCAAACTAATGAGTTATAAATTAAATATAAATCATCTATCTATATATATATAATAGGTGGGGTGTTCACGGGTCGATTTGGGTCGGTTATTGATTAAAACCAAAATCAAACCAACTTAATCGGCTTTAAAATTATCAAAATGAAACCAAACCAAATATAATATACATTTATCAATTTGATTGTAATCAGTTCAGTTCGGATTGGTTCGATGATTCGGTTATCAACCATACACAAAAATAAAAGAAATAATTTAAAAGGTGAAAAAAATGACATAGTTAGAATGACTAACATTATAGAGCTTTCGATCACTTAATTTTACTACGAATAAAGCTTCAAAATTCACTATTTTGTCCTAGAGGGAAGAGACAAAGAGCATTCATAAAGAATTGTCATAAACACTCATATACATGAAACAAATAAGATAAATGTTCTCACATTTGGACATTTTTGGTTTCATAAGTAAATTATAAATAATTTTTGATGAAAACATATACAAGATCTTTAAAATGGTTTATAAAAACAATATATTATGTATGTATAATAATAATAATATATATGTATATATAATTTGTCGGTTCGGTTCGATTATTTTTTTGGTTTTTTCGAACAAAATCATAACCAAACCAAAATACTATTGGTTTTTAAAAATCTAAAACCAAATCAAACCCAAATAAAATCGATTTGTTTTGATTTTTCAATTTGGACCATTTTTTATTCAAACCGTGAACACCCCTAAATATAAGTGTGTTTTTGATACTTCACTTTTTTAACTATCATAAGTTATTAAGAAAACAATAAAAGCTTTCTTGATTCTATTTTCTAATTAGTGAGTTTTAAAAAATAATATTATATTTTTATATTTAGTTTTTTATTTTATTCGCAATGAAAGTTTTTATAACCTGACTAATGTTGTAAAACATATGAGATTATTAAGTTCAAGTCTTAAAACTACGTAAATCTTATCGTATGTTTTTTCTATTATAAATTTCAAATGTCTTCGTCTCTTTTTTAAAGTTCATATTGAGATCTATATTGATTTGAAAGAAATAATTATTATAATAACACCTAAATTGAAAAGGAAGAAATTATTATAATAATAAATGAAATTTGACAAAATAAAATTAAAATAATCATATTTATCCTTAAACTTAGTTCGACTAGAAGTATGGCGGCCCGTTTGGATTAGCTTAAAAGATATAGTTTTTTAAAGTCAAAAATAATAAGTCAAATTTAAATTACTTTTAAGTCAAAAAATAAAAAGTAGGGGAGATCTAATTTTAGTTTTTAACTTATTTCTAACCTTGTCAAACACGTCTCAACTTATTTTAAGTTATTTTTTATATTTGTCAAACACTTTCAGAAGTAAAAAAACTGACTTAAAAAAGTAGGTTTAACCAACTTTTAAATCAATCCAAACACTCTAAATATTCATTTTTGGGGGCACCATGTTGTGTCCGTTTTTAGATTTTTTCAAGTTTACTCTCTCGGGATATTTCAGACGTATGTAACTAAAATTGATAGAATTCGAACATTTTTTTACCGAAGAACGTGCAGAAATTGACTAAATTTCAATCACGCGTGTGAATTTTTTTTTATCATTATTTTATTTTGCAAATCTCAACAATTCAACATATAATTTTTTTCTAAATAAACTCAAATTTAAAATATAAGTTTCATATATCAAAAAGAATAAATTCAATCATAAAAATAATAACACATCTAACAAATTCATTTAACATGACTGAAGTGTATATAATAATTGACTAAAATTTCGATTATATATGTCAAATATAGTAATAATAAAAGAAGAAGAATACACCTTTATAGAAGTTACTTAATACTCTAAATGTTCATACAAATAAAAGACAAAATAAGTATTAGTTAAATTTATTTATCCAGCCTTTTTAATTAATAAACAAATAAATAAGGCGATCAAAATATAGTCATCTCATGAGTATATCATCCTCTACCGTTATACACTAATATTAATGCATTACTTTACTATATATAATAAATGGGAATATCTACTACTTTACACATGACAAGTGTTGGATGATATGTGCTTAAATAGTGTTGTACATTCTTCTTTTATGGTTGTACCTTTAAAATTTATATTATTGGACAATTTAACACCATTAATTACCTACTACTTTATTGGCCGAAAAGTTAGACCTCATTTGGGCCCATTTATTATTTATATGTTTTCAATTTTCAATATATGTTGTCTATCTAGTTCTTTTTTTCAACCTTTTATTTTGAACTTCTTGAAATTTAATTACCTATTTATTATTCTCTCTATACACTTTTAATTGTTATGATTTCCTTTTTACAGTCAAACTATAAGAATTATATATATATATATATATATATATATAATAAGTGAGAATATCTACTGCTTAGCACATGACAAGTGCTTAGATAGTATTGTACATTCTTCTTTTATGGTTGTATCTTTAAAATTTATATTATTGGACAATTTAACACCATTAATTACCTACTACTTTATTAGCCGAAAAGTTAGACCTCATTTGGGCCCATTTATTATTTATATGTTTTCAATTTTCAATATATGTTGTCTATCTTATTCTTTTTTTCAATCTTTTATTTTAAACTTCTTGAAATTTAATTACTTATTTATTACTCTCTCTATACACTTTTAATTGTTTGATTTCCTTTTTAGAGTCAAACTATAAGAATTTTAACTAATATTTTACAATGTGTTTTTTCATCATATTCATATGCAAAAAATTACAATTTATAGTACTTTTTGTATAGATTTTGCATATTTAAATTTTTTGTTTAAAATATCAAATCA